CGCCTGTCTGCGGGCGGCCCCCCCCCCCCCCCCCCAGTGAAACAAAAGCAGAAAGCATTTGCACTTCACGCCCCTTTTTAAAAGTCAGGCATTTCTGATTGATTGACTTTATATTCTCAGTAGAAAAAACACTTTTCATTGAATTTGGTTTACAATGGAAAAATGCTGACCTGTTCATACATAGGGTCTTTACATGGAATCATTTCTGAAAGAATTCGTCTCTGAATTCTCATCTATTCCCAGAAATCTCTGTGACTGAGTGTTCAGGCTGGAACATTTGCAAAAAACTGATCAGGTATAATACCTAAGGCTGGGGGTATTTTCTTGGATTGTTTAACAAAGCATATGGGATTACTCTTCAGATAAATAAATTCCTTATTTTCAGTACTTATCTATAAAGGGGAAAACAGAACAAATATTTAAGTTATTGCAACACACTTTATTTTGTCAGGCAAATAGTATTTTAGATAGTCAATTAAATAGTGCTATGTTATACTACATTTTGTTCTTCTTGCACACTATATAATGTATATTCACTGTAATTACAGTTTCATCATGCTAGGAACCTATACACATACCTACACTTTTAAAAACAGGGTTTTCTTAATAAAACACGCATATCTACAATAACAACAATTGCAAAGAACACATTTTTAAGTCAAGGTTTCAACAAACTTTACAAACTACACAAAATAAAAATAGCCAAAGAAAAATCAATACACAGTGAAGTTCTTAGCAGAGAACATATCTTTACATTTGGCAAAGTTGTGTCTAGAAGTCATTCTGCTTTTGTATTTTTTTAAGGAATAAAATTATATACATTATTTAGTAATCCTCAAAACAGGAAGTTTTAAATAGCACAAACAATATTACAGTCCTAAGTTTTGGTGTTTCCTACAATAGAGGGGCTATTTTAAACAAATAAAAATCGCTGTTTCTCTATTCTGTACATTTAGGGCCAAATCCTAAGCTGGTATAAACCGTAGTACCTAACGGATAGCAAGGAAGTCACATGAGTTTATACCAGCTGAGCCTCTGGCTCCTCACTACTCTATACACAGGGGAAGTCTGCTAAAGCATGGAAGCTTGGACCGGTTACACATTGACAGAAGCTT